GAACATACACCAACAGTTAACCTAGAGTTGTAAAAAGATAATGGTTATAGGACAGTGATCCTGAAATGTATAACCCACAGAATATGACAAAGATTTAGTTTTGGTAAAGATCAGGGGCCCACGAAGATTTGCAGGAAATATCTGTAGACTAAAGAATCCTGGCACAGATGTATAAGGCCACCACATCCTTCCTATCCCAAAGCCCCTTCCAGAGCAGCCTGTGAGAACCCAGCAGCTCCCCTGCTAGCATAACTAGTGGTTTGGTGAGTGGCAGCAACTGTGGCAGCTGAGATGTCAGAAGGCCCTGGGAGTACTGGTCTCCTGCAAATCACTCTTCAGCTCTCTGCACAGTGTGGAAGAGGGACCTAGGAATTTAAAGCCAGGAGAGCTTTCAAGCTAGAAACAACTGGAGAGGTTTTGGAGTAGGATCACAAATCAAGGCTGAGGTCAGGCTTTTTGTGCTGAGAGCAGCCAAGCTCTGGCCCTGGACTATGGTGACACAGTGGGGGTCAGGGCTCTGCCCAAGGTACTGCCTCGCATAGGACCTAAGGAAGGAATGTTGTGGACACCTCTGACTATTAAACCAAAATGAAAGTCCCATAGAACACAGAGGCCATCAGAGAACAGGACATCAGTGCTGGGTCTTCAGACTGTGCTCAGAATGACCAGAGGCCAAGAAGGTCAGCAAATGCCCCATTCCCAGAGTATCGACTCACTCAGCATTTGTTCTGCTTAGAGAGAATAAGGCATACATTTCACAAATAGAAGCCTACATCGTTTCACTGATGTGTGCATGTAATGCATTAACTATTAGTTTAATGTGATAGCTTTATTACTTGATATAATAATAAGTTTTATTATCATTTCTGAGCATAACAGAGAATGGCAAGGGAGCAGGTGTAAAACCACAGCCTCTCCTGCCTGGCTTCGCCTCTTCTATGGGCAGCACCAGTGCATCTCATCTGCATCTCTGAATAGGGTCAGATTTTGTAGACTCTGCTTCCCTCATCCCATGTGGGACTCAGGAACATTGCATCAGTGCACACCCATAGTTTAGAGTGTGAGAATCTCCCAGGAAAGCACAACATAGCCATGTGTATTATCAATTGCAAAGCAAAATAGGAAATATTAAGAAACTGGTAGATAGCAAAAAGCAGGTCACTGTCCTTAGAGAGCCTATGGCCACCGAGTCTAGAATTGCAAAGAGAGTTCCCTGCCTTAGTATCCCCGTAATGGGAAAGCAACTGTTTTACAGTTCTAGGGTTTCTGGGATGAGGCCTCTGTGATTTGCTTACTGTGGGGATCATTTAGCATCTCACAGACTATTCGAAGCATAAAAACCATGTTGGTTTGAATAGAGAAATGCTCTCAGATAATCCTCATTGCACAAAGTTCTCAGATATATGCACAGATTTAAAGGAGTTTCAAAAATAACAGCACTGTTATAGAAGACGACGGAATCCCTAGATTTATTGTGACAGCGCACATCTTGAAATAAATATTAATTCAGTAGAGAGAGAAAGTAAAGCAAAAACATAAGGGAATCATAACATAACATAGAAATAACAAAGAAATATCTAGGGTTACCAGGCCTATGGGATTAAATTTTGGAAGTCTTTGTTCAGTCTATAACAATACAAGGAACAGGAAATTGAAACAGTGATGACCAAAATAATTTTCTAAAATGATACAAAGATATATCTTTGTGTTGATCAGTATGCCAACAATGAGTCACATATTTCCACTCAGTCCTGGAACTGTATGTAGTATAACTGTGCTTCGCATTTTAACCAAGTTTTATCTACCAAGGTAGGAGGACGAGAACTGCTGTCTAAAGCACAATTGTTGACAGAGCCAAGTTAAGGCACATAGATCACATTGCTAAATCTTTGGTAACTTTCCTGGATTCTGCTGATGCAATAAAAATAGTGGAGCCCATTTCTCTTATAGTCACTGAAAGGGAAGCTGGGCCGTGGAGCCCACAATGGTGTCACTGGAGTGGAAAGGCAGGAACAAAACACACGTGAACCCCTCAGTGAATGATGTCACCCACCAGGGTCTTCCCAGCAAGAGCTTGCTGGCTGATCAGGTGGAATATGCACAGTGAACACGGTCTCAACCTCAGACTCCTGGGTCCTATGGGCCCTGTCACAGAGGCCTCTCCACATCCTGCTGTCTCTCCTGGTCCCAGAGCACCAGGACCCAGAGAGCCACAGCTCCAGGTCTACAGCTCAGTGCTGCACCTGCTTGAGGTTGATCTTTGTCTGATACAGTGACTGCATTCTGCTGAGAGCTTGTGACAGGCAGGGGATTTGGAGAACAAGCAGAGCAGCAGCAAGGGGTGCACAGCAGGGCATCCAGGTTCTGAACAGAGGGCAAATTGTGTGATCCATGCAAGAGAGCCAGGACCACATGTCTGCTGGAATACATAACAATAATATACACCCTTAAGAGAGTAAAATCACCCATGGGTATGATTCTTGTTGTGCTCGATAATTTTTGTGTTGTCCATATGTTAAAATATATTTCTTTCAGTAAACAGTGGATTCAGTGGAAGCTCCTGGTATACGCAGCTCCCAAGATTGAACAAATCCCTGACTTGTGCAGGTTGAGTCCATTCACGTGGCCATGGCATTCAGAGCACACAGCGAGTGATCACAGAGACCTCCGCTGGTCACCGTGGATAAACAGTCTCACATCTCCAGACACTGCATCCAGTGCTTGAATTCTTTGCTGTTTAACAAATTCAGGCTGTGTTTTAATTAATTTCTTTTAAACAGATATTCTGTACTCCACTGTGGCTGTTATGAATGAAGCTAATTTGATTGGTGTGACACAAGATGCTGTGTGAACTGCTGTTTTTGAGGAACTTACTCAGAGGTCTGGGAGGGCAGCTGCTGGGTCTCACAGAAATTTCTAAGCCCTTCCCAAACTATCTGCTAAGAGGTAACAAGTTCTTCATTTTCATCAGGAATTGATAGTTTAATTGTTCCAGTACTTGTTTGTTTGTTTGTTTAAGATTTCCATTTATTAATATTTGACAGTAAAGAAAACAGACAGATTTCAATAACCTATTTATTATGGTTTAAAAATTAGCATTCTCCTGTCATGTATTTGTGTTTGACATATTTTAGATCTTATCTTTGTTAATGCAGACTTTTGAAAGGGCAAAAGTTAATAGAAAAAAAAATGAAGCATTACTACAATCATTACTGGGGCTCAATAAGAACATCATATGCCTGGGATGAGGAAGCAGAAAGTGGTATATACCGAGGAGATGCATTCTGTGACTGATTTTGAGATTTTAATGCAAAATAATTGTGCAGCCTTAAAGAAAGTGGTTGACATCACTTCCACTGCAACCATCTTGTTTGGAAAATAAACATCCTACTGGGGACCCTCAACTCTGCCACCTCCATTGTGTTCCCAAAGATTTGACTCTGGTGTTCACACTAAGCTAAGTCATTGTTTTTATGGGAGGTATTTAAGTTCCACAGGTGTGAAAATGAAATGGCAAGATGTGACAATAAGGAGAGGAGGTATGTTTCAGCATGAGATGAAACAAGCTCTTTTCTTGACAATGCGAAGACCAAAGGCAGCCTGCTGGGCACTCTCCTGATCAATAGAGAAAGGGCCCATGTTATGTTCAGTGAAATAGTGAATGATTCTAAGTGATACAAACAAAAACAATGCTAGTTCTAAATTTCCACCTGAAAATCCAGATGAAAGTAGGGTAAAAGATTATGAAAACTTCTTCCCGTATTTCAAGAATTATTTAGACTCTTAGTCCAAGCAAATCTATATATTTCTGGTGACTTTGGAGTCAAAATCAATACATTGCCAACTTCCATTCCAAAATTATCACTAAGCCAATATATTCCAATTAGCATAAACTCTAAAACGGAAATCTTATAAGTAGCTGGTGTGTTATTTAATATTTTTAATTATTGTGTTTCCTAATACAGTGTATATTGAGGTTACCATTCAATAATCTTCCATAGTGTAAAAGCAAGATTTTGTCATTCTGGATAAGGAAAAACTACAGAAATGTTAAAACACAAATGACTTATAGGAAATGGGGTGAAAGAGAATGAATGGGTAAATTTTTAAGAGCAGAGGCTTTTTAGAGCACTGAAACAACATTGCATCAGGCCAAAATGCTGCCTGTGTGTTATCACACACTTGTTTATCCTGATGAAATGTGCAGCATCAAAAGTGAAGAAGAGAAAGAAGAAAGGAAAGGATTCTACGTATATAGGGGTACATATGTGTGCATCTGTGTGTGTATATGTACAACATAGGCAGCTACAGTATTGATCTCTGTTACTTCATCCAAAGAACAGTTTGTGCTTTCATTGTTTGATTATTCATCTTTTCCGTGCCTAGATCTTGTAACCTGAACAACTGCTTCTAAGATAACAATATGCAATGTATTTATTAGTGTTAAATTCCTACAATTTTTTTGAAATTCTGTATCCGTTTTTTCTGTTTTAAAGTAAAAGAGTTTATAACAAAACAGCAAAACCAAAATGTGAACTTTCAAGTAAACTACAGACTTTGCATGTTTTTGAAACTTGGTATTTGCAAAAAATTGTAATTGTATGTTAATGACAGACTGCATAGCCTGGACAGAGTTGTGAGGATTACCACTGCATTTTAAATTTTTCAATGGCCTTAATGCCCTCTAAATTATGAAGCAAGTCTTTACGAACTCTTTCTCAGAATGCATACAAGGGTTTCTCTGCTGCTGTCTGAATAAAAAGTGATGCCATAACCAACACTGCTCAGAGGGATTCATCTGTGTCCTACACTAAACCAGGACAGGTACTGTGATGTCTATTCTGCTAGAGCTGAGGAATAGAAATAGAAAAGAGAGTTAGAGTACAGAGAATTCTGTGCCCTTCTTTAAAGCCTCCCAGGGAACTTGCAGGCCAGGCAGGGTCAGAGAACTGCTCTCAGCCATTGGACACAGCAGGGCTGACACCTGGGTCAGCACAGCCTCACATTTCTGCTTTCCTTGGTGGCTTTATTATGGCTTGTATCATCACAGGAGGAGTATCATAACCTTTTAGACAGTAATAATTCGCAACATCTTCAGGCTCCAGGCTGTTGATGGTGAGAATGTAATCTACCCCAGATTCACTGCCACTGAACCTCAATGGGACCCCAGATTTCAAACTGTTTGCTGCATAGATCAGCCATTTAGGAACTTTCCCTGGTTTCTGTTGGAACCAGTACAAAAGGTAGCCAATGTCTTCATTGGCCTTGCAAGTGATGGTGACTGTGTCTTCCACAGAAATAGGCAAGGAAGACGGAATCTAAGTCATCTGGATGTCACATCTGGCACCTGAGATTAGAAGCATAACAAATATCAACATGACCTTAGTAAAACAGGACCTCCCTGCAGACACAGGCCCCTCTGGCCAGGGAATTCTAAATAAACTAAATTACAAGATCAATTTTTTCTTACCTCGGAACCAGAGCAGCAGAAGCCCCAGAAGCTGAGCATAGTCCCTCATATCCATGCTGCGTCCTGACTGGGACACTTACATCTGGTGTGACAAACTCTAAGAAATCCTAAGCAGGGCTGTGCTCTGGGCACATGCAAATCAGCAGAGTTAGGCGTGGCTGGACACAACTGCAGGTCTAGCTCATCTCAGTACTGGCCTACAGCTCTCTGGGATTAAATGGCCACAGCTGCTCATATATCCTTCAGAGAAGGTGTTTCTTCCTGAGCCACAGGGCAGAATCTGACTGCCTTCCCATAAGTACAGTGAACTACCATCCTCTTTATGGTTCACACTGCACCTTGCATTTCTAAATAGAGATGGGGTCTGTAAGTTCTGTCCCCCTGTCTCTCATTCCCCAGGTCACTTCATCCCTGTTTCACTCACAGCTGCCACAGTCAGAGCTGTGCACCTTGCTCTCTCACCCACCCTTCCGCATTGCTAACCCACAATTCGGACTCTAAGAATGTTCCTGAGAGGGGGATGATAGTCAGGAGCATTACTAATCACAGAGGAAAATGGGAAATACTAGGAACCCGTAGATGGTGAGAACACGGCCCTTTGTGCCCTGAGGCCCCCAAATTCACAGATGAGCAGCACTGAGTTTCTCTTTCTTCAGAACCCCGATACTATTGCACTGAAATCAGAAAGGGAACTTTCTTTGCAGGCAATGTACAATTCCCTGGGTGATTCTACACCTCGTTCTATTGCAATGCTTAAGTCAACCTGAATCCCGGCAATTTAACCTTAATAGCTTTGGAAAACTGGGTTTAGATTCCTAATAAAGTGTCTAGGAACATTATTTTCACCAATAAAATAGTGAGTGCTTTATCCTTCAGAATAAATGAAAAAGGATGTCTAATTTTTTTTAAAAGTATGCTGAAGCTCCTCCAAAATCTAATAAGACAAACTAATAAAATGCACAAATTAAAAGCCCAAAAGGTTATTGTCCTTTCCACATACTTTCCAAAAAATGTTTTGCATACATTACTAAATCCTGCAACAAAATTAACCAAAATAATAACTTCATAAAATCTCTGGATTCACTGTGAATACAGTCATTGTGTCTTATAAATTAAAAAAAAAAAACATTTGGGTAAATAGAGAATGTTTCTATGTTCCTCTTGTCAAAAACATGATATAACTAAAGCTTCATTTTTTCAAAAGGTATATATACACAAAAATATATTTCATGTAATGAAATCCAGTCAATCTACCAATGATGTACTTAATGAATGGGTAGTTTCTATAATACTTAAAAAATCACAAAGTACCTACAACAGCCACAAAACTTTTGAGGAATAGAAATAGAATATGCATAAACTTCTATTCTAAGATTGTATAGGGAGTGGAGATATAGCTCAACAGTGGAGAATTTGCCTGGTATGCATAAGCGCCTCAGTCTGAGTCCCAGCTTTGCCATCAAGGGTGAAGATCATCAAGGAATTTCAGTGAAACAATGTGTGCACCAGAGGAACAGAAATAAACTGAACAAGTAAAAAAGAAGACTCCAGAGAAAACACCCACAGGTAGTCATTTCTCCAAACATAGTAAAGTATAGGTTTATGTGTGTGTTTTTCAATACATGGTGAGGAGCAATTGGAAAGGAAAATGAAACTAAGTACATATTGGGAAAATATTGAACCACATGGAATCAGAATAAAAATATGAATTAATAGAACACATGGTCGACAGGTGTGAGTAGGGGAGCTTCAGGAGAAAGAGGAAGAGTGTAACTGTAGGCTGTAAAAGAAGGTAAACTCAAGAAGACACAAACCCACATTCACACAATTACAGGAGAGAAATATGAATACATTAGACTTCACTGAAAGTGGTGAAAGAAATCACAGAATCACAAATAAATGGAAAGTTACCCCCCTGTTCCTGGGTTGGAGGAATTAATGCTTCTAAAATGTTCAAACCATCCAAAGTGGATTACAGATTCGGTGAAACCCCCATCAAAATGACATTGAGAAAATTAAACTGGAATAACTAATTATTCTAAATATGCAGCACATTTTCCTGCTGTTCTTTTTGACCAATTTCCTCCTCACCCCATGGACTTTGTAAACTCAAGCCTATCTGTTGGCACTATTAGATTTGTCCTTTTCTAGAATTTCATACACAAATATATCATCTGTCTTCTATTCCCTACTCCTTTCCTAATTTTACACAACACAGTTGCTTGTTAGTTCAAGTCATGCTATTCATGTACAAATAATGATCCTCTTCTTTTCTGAGTACTATGTAATGGATGGAGATGTCATAACGTATTGCTTCATGGAGACTGAGGTAAGTTTCGTGTCAGGCTATTATGAATGAGTATAGTTTGGATGGTTTTAGGCAAAATGTGAGAGAACAGGTGTTTCCAAGTATGTTATTCAAATGTTTGAAATTTCAACTGTTGGATGTGACACTATGAAAACAGGTTTATAAGACTCTGCCAAGCTATTATCCTAAGAAGTCATAAGGTAATCATTTCCAGCATGAATTGAGGTGCATATCAGATGCTCGTACTAGTAACTTTTTAAAAATTTTGGTTAGTTTATACCCAATAGTAACTAGATGAGGTAGAGGTCATGAAAGCTTTTATTAATTACCATTTTCTATGCTTGGAATGTTTTAGAAGCCTGAGAGCTAATCTTAATTAATACAGCCTATTGAAAAGGCAAAAATTAGTAAAGAAAACATTGGAGAGTAGGAATGTCTGGAAACATCTTGCCAGTGGATTCAAGAAGGAGGGAATGTGTTACACAGAGAGAATGCTCGCTACTGCTGAATGTGAGGTTTTTCTGGTGAAAAAAATCGGTATGTGTTATAGTCAGGGGTTGTTCAGAGAACCATTAGAATCAAGATATGGAGTTTATAATATTATTTTTTAAAATGGTCACCAGAGTTAACACAAGAAAATTCAGGAAATCTATCCACAACACTAAAGACATAGAATATTTAGCCAAGGGCCTGAATCCCACAGCCATGCCCCACATGAGTCCCGATGAAGACCCAGAGCTCATGACAATGCCTCCCATAAGTCCCACTGGAGGTCTAAAGCTCACAAGGTCTCATGACAGTCTCTTTTTACAGATCTGTGCTGGGAAGGCCCAAAGGTCAGCTATGGAAGCCAGGAAATCTATACCAGCTGTGCTGGTGGGTTGAGGGTTCTATGATGGAGATGAGAAGTCACACTCACAACAAAGACCGGGGCTGTCCTAAAAAGCACCACAACCATCCCCAGCGACACAGAGGCCTCAGGCTCCTTGGACAACAAGCACAGTCGAGTACGTGCTGGAAAGCCAGCATGACCAGTTCATCCTGGAGACCAAGGGGCACACATCTTCCTCCCCAGAGCCAGGAAGCAATGCTCAATGTGAAGACCAGACCTTCTACAGGAGAACCAATGGCTCCAACAGAAACTCATAGATGAACCCACAATGCATCAACGCCTCAACCCAAAAGCTTCTCCTTCTCCACGGCTCTATGCTGGCAAATTTTCTCAGGTGGAACATCTACACTCAGCGCCATGCTGATGTAATCCAGCTGGTATGAAGTTGACCACCAATTCTTAATCCATAACGGTATGTTACTTGAAGACTGTGTCCCTACAATGGCTGCAACCTTCTCTGCTGTTGCCATCTTGATTGGAAAACTAGAAAACATTCTGGTGGTCCTATGATAACCAGGCCATACCCTAATGTCTACCTAAGAATGAAGTCTATTTTCCCCCCGGGGCTGAAAGGCTGTTTTGATGGAAGATATTCAGTGCCACAACCTAAAAGTCACATACGAAGATGTGGAAATAAGAACAGGAGATACTTGTCTTTGGAAAAAAATGAAGCCACTTCTCTTTTTCTTCATTTCGAAGAAAAGATCAACACGAGCAAGTGGGAGCTCCCGGAATGGTGGAGAAAGACACTGAGCTGGGTTCAGGGAAACAGTGAAAGGCTCTGAATGATGTAAAAAGAACAGTGAGAGTCTCAGGGTCCACCTGTAAATGCAATAGGTTGTATGAGCACCAGATTTATAACAACATTATATCAATAAAATAACTTAAAGAAAAAAGAGTTTAGAACTCCCACTGCTTATTTTAAAATTACAATAGACTCTTAACATCAGTTCAAACAATCAGTATCCATGTGGTGACCTCTGAGACACACTCAGTACTATGAAAGCACCACAGTATTGCACAGTACAGGATCTAACACACTTTCTATGCCAACATATTTGTGATAATCATAGAAGCTATAAAGGGAGTCTTGGTAGTAGCAAAATGTATTATTGATTATTTTTATTTCTGTGTTACATAGCAGTATACTGTGACATTGGTTTTTGAAAATCTTCTATAATGTAAACACCAGGATATTATCTTTCTAGGAAAGGGAATGCTATAGACATGGGGAAACATGGTTCACTTACAGAAAACGGAGGAAAAAGAAGCTGCACAGGTACAAGACAGTGGTATTATGACAAAACTGCGTCATAAAACATTTTGGACGTGTGGCATTACATCTGTGTCTTGTGATGAAATATTTAATGTCAAGAGTCAAAATTAATGTGGACTGGGAAATTTGAGTTTGAACTTATCATGATGAGTTGCGACAGAGTTGAATTTATGGTGATAATCTACTTTGCAGATGCAGGGACAGAGGCATAAAACACACCTCTGCACTTTAACCTTCGTTTTGAATACAAGTCTCTAAATGGCAGCTTGAAGAGGCATATCTGCAGCCATTATTAATATCCTAAAATCTTATTTCATTGTTCTGTACTGTTTATACTGTTTTATTTTGTTTGATTTTATTCCATTTTGTTTTATTTACTTCATTACGTCTGTATGGGAAGTTACTTTGAACATAACTCTATATATATATATATATATATATATATATATACACACGTTAGCGTCTGTTGATTTCTATTACCTTCTTTTGTAGTGCAATATGGATTTAACTGTATTGTTTTGCTTAAAATTACTTTGTTGTACTTTGGTTTTAGTCTCTTTAAAATAAAAAATAAAATTA